AGCTGAATAAAGCCCAGATTCTGACTCATTCTCTTCGCCACATGTCATGAAATTAATCTGAAGCATCCAAGATCAGAAGAGCAGAGCTCCCGCTGGCACTGGCAGCGGGTGGCCATTTGCACCAGGTTACAGGAGCACAGCAGGCAGGCCCTGGCTGCTGAGCTGAGCCTCGTCCTCTCCCACCCCTGCAGATGATCTCGCAGCCCACAGACCCCGAGGGCTCAGGGAGGCAAAATCCCAGGCAGGTCGGGCTAGACGCAGCCGCTCTTACAAACCCAGACAGGTAGGAAGCCTCGCTTCACGCTGCTCCTCACACCGCAGGGTCAGGCCAGCATTAAAAGTTACGTTGTAGGCAGCTCCTAACACCAACAAACCCCTCAGACCCGCGCCAAGCTGCGCAGGAGCTCCCTGAGCACAGGGAACGCAGCTTTGGGCTCAGCTTCAGGACTTGAGCTTCCATCTGTCCAGCTTCAGCCTGGTGAGCACCAGGCTTCCCCGCACGAGAGCACGCTTCCCAAGTGCCTGCCTTCAGCAAAGCTTTCTCCTAGAGAAAGGCACCATGTCCCAAAGCTTTCCTACCTTCTGGCCACGGGGGGAAAGATGGGTCTTGGGCATGTAGGTCACCAGCAACAGGTACAAGGCTTTCACCTGGTGCCAATGTCTTCCAGCAGCCTCCAGCCAGAGGCTTGTATGCCTGCCTCTGCTCCAGGAGGCAGGGAAGGAGCTGCAGAGCTTACAGTAAGTGCAGAAGGCGGAGACTGCCAGGAAACAACAGAAACAAGGAAGGAGCAATTTTCGAGTTAGCGACTTGTGTATCGATAGAAATCAAACTAACACTAACGAGGGGATGGCAAGCTGCGCTCAGGAAGCAAAGGCACAGAGCTCTGCTTGACACCAGCAGAAAGTCACTTCCCTGCAGAAAGCTGTTTGCTTTTCCCAAAGGCCACTGCAGCGAGTGATGCACCAGCTGGGGTTTGGGGACAGCCGGAAAGCCGGGCGCAGGTGAAGGGACCGGCACCAGCCAGGAGTCCCAGGGCTGGCCCTGGGCTCAGATCAGGGCACCGCGCTCCATCCCGCGGCAGCGCCGGCACAGGACCCCACCGCAGCTTCTGCGGGAGCAAACCATCACAGCGGGGCAGCCCTGAGGAGCCGGCACGAAGGAAATCACAGCAACAGCGCAAGGAGGTGTGAAGGGTTAGGAACTGGCCAGCAGCAGGAGGGGTGCCAGGAGGCACAGAGCAGCACCCAGCAAGCAGAGCTTCGCTCAGTGAGGAGGCAGATGGGAGGAAGGCCATGCCACCCCTTGAGATAGGACTTATTCCCCTCCAGCAAACCAGGCTGCTCTGCCCTGGGTCTCAGGATGGGCTAGGAGCAGGAGAAGACACAGCGACCAGACCAAGGCCCACAGCAAGAGCAGCTGCTCCCCGCAGGAGCCAGGCACGCTTTCATTAGGCAGGACAGATATTTATGAAGCCTGAATGGCATGTAAGGCTTCCCTGGGCGCACAGCAGCATCAGGCAGGAGCTCTGAACCTTGCCTGGAGCACAGAGCTGGGTGCTCGTGCACATTTCCAGCTGCACAAGAGATGACCACGGGCACCCTGCCACTGCCTGCAGCTGCCCACCCACAGCTCCCGGCCAGCTCCGTGCCCCGAGTCCCCGCTCGTGCAGGAGGGGCTGCACAGCACTGAGATGGGTTTCACTAGCAGCTTCTCCAAGATGAGCTCACGTATCAGATCGCTGCCACCTGTCACTTTCAGTGTCACTGTATGTCGTGCTCTTCTGATCGTTGCTGCACGTGACACTGTCCCCATTTTTCTGGATGCTTTTTGTAAGAAGAGAGAAAGGGGGAACGTCCTGCTGTGGACTGAGACACAGGGAGAAGACAGACACCAGCACCTGACACAGAGTTAAAGAGGTTTTTAGAACTTCACAGCACTGAATAGTCCCAGAGACAGGAGCAACATCCACAGGACATTAACCTTGAACAACAACCCTCTGGTGCAATCCTCAGAGAAGACCACGTGAACCAAGTCTGTTTTCAGTGGAGCAATAAGTGAAAGGGAGGAGGAGAGAGACACTGGCCCATGCAGGAGCCTGTAAAAAACAGATGCTCCTTCAGCCTCAGAGTAAGACCTGGCTTGATGTAACAGGGCCATTGCAACCCCAGAGCTTTTGCTTTCTGCAGCTGTAGGCCAAGAAAGGCTGGGCCGTTAGCCGCAGTTCAAGGCTGCGTACTGGATTGCAAAGCCCCCATTTTGCAGCGGATTCAGCTCTTGGCTGGCCATTTGTGTGGCTGCAGCAGCACGGGGAGCGCTCCTTCCACGCAGTCAGCTGCGGTGCATTCACAGCCCTTTTAACTTGGTACCGGAGGCTGCTACTACTGCAGCGTGAACCGTGCGGTGCTTCTTCTCGGGGGGGAAAACCCCAATAAATACACGGGCCAGGCAACAGCTACAAGTCACCAGAGTCCCCTGCCTGCCAGCGAGCTCAGCCACCTCATTTCCTATTGCATCACGGTGATGGCACCCCCACGCACGGCGGGTGCTTC